CTGGGATCACAGGCATGCGTCACCACGCCTGGCTGGATAGGAGCAGTTTTATTCCTTAGTTTTCAATCTTTTTTTTTCTGGCTAGGAGTGCCAGTAAACAGAACTGATAACAGAAAAATTTTTGCTTTTTGTTCAGTCTTTCATCATTAAGTGGGATATTAGCTGTAGGGTGTTTGTAGGTTAACTTTATCAAGTTAAAGGGAAGTTCCCTTCTAGTCCTAATTTGATGAGAGTTTTTATTGTGAAGGGAAGTTGAATGTTGGGATGTAGCTCAGTTGTAGAGTGCATGCTTAGAGACCCTGGATTCCATCCCCAGCACCAAAAAGAGAAGAAAAAGCCCACATTTAAATGCTGTCAAACAGCGCGGTGCCAGCCGCTTCCAGACGGAGGACTGCGGTGGCCACTGAAGGGCGCCCCCAGCGCTGCCGGCTGGCGTCTGTCAGCGTAGGGATGAGACCCCTCCCCGTGCCTGGCCGGTGCCTGCTGCGTTGCTAGTGGCGAAAAGAGTACGACAAGGGTGCCACGAGCCTGGGCTTGACTTGCAATGATTCTGGCCTGAGTTCCAGGATGGTTCGTTCTTGGGACCAGACATGACTAAGAGTTGACCTCAAGAACATATCACCCTCTCCAGCTGCCATGCTTCTCCGGAGGCTGCGGCAACTCTCCTGGGGCAGCACTGCTGTCCAGCTCTTCATCCTAACGGTGGTAACGTTTGGCCTGCTGGCTCCCCTGGCCTGTCACCGGCTTTTGCACTCTTACTTCTATCTGCGAAACTGGCATCTGAACCAAATGAGCCAAGAGTTACTGCAGCAGAGCCTGAAGGAAGGGGAAGCTGCTCTCCACTACTTTGAGGAGCTGCCCTCTGCCGACGGCTCAGTGCCCATTGTCTGGCAGGCCACGCCCCGCCCCTGGCTGGTGATCACCATCATCACTGTGGACAGGCAGCCTGGCTTCCACTACGTCTTACAGGTCGTGTCGCAGTTCCACCAGCTCCTACAGCAGTGTGGCCCCCAGTGTGAGGGATACCAGCTCTTCTTGTGCAATGTGGAGCGCAGCGTGAGCCATTTCGATGCCAAACTGCTCTCCAAGTACATACCCGTGGCCAACCGCTATGAGGGAACTGAGGATGATTATGGTGATGACCCTTCAACCAACTCATTTGAGAAAGAAAAGCAAGACTATGTATATTGCCTTGAATCCTCACTGCAGACCTACAATCCAGACTATGTCCTGATGGTGGAAGATGATGCTGTTCCAGAAGAGCAAATATTCCCAGTCTTGGAGCACCTGCTGCGGGCTCGCTTCTCTGAGCCACACCTCCGAGACGCCCTGTGTCTTAAGCTCTATCACCCCGAGAGGTTCCAGCATTACATCAACCCAGAGCGGATCCTGGAGTGGGTCGGTGTGGGCATGTTGCTGGGGCCCTTGCTAACCTGGATATACATGAGGTTTGCCAGCTGCCCAGGCTTTAGCTAGCCTGTCCTGTTGTTCTTCTCACTGTATAGTATGGGACTGGTGGAACTGGTGGGCCGGCACTACTTCCTCGACTGCGGCGCCTGAGTCCTTCCTTGTACAGTGTGGTTCCTGCTTCTCAGTGTTGCACCCCAGCGATGCTCTTCCCCGCACCTGCAGCCCGCCGAACCCCCACCTACCTGTCCCAAGTGTATTGCCACAAGGGATTTGGCAAGGACATGGCACTGTACTCACTCTTGAGGGCCAAAGGAGAGCGGGCCTATGTGGTAGAGCCCAATCTGGTGAAGCACATCAGGCTTTTCTCCAGCCTCCAGTACAATTTTCATCCCAGTCTGCTCTAGAGTGCCAAAAAATGCCTTTCGGAAAGTGATCGGTTCCTAGAGATTCAAACATTGAGTTCCTTATTTAGACACGATTCCTTGCAGCTATTTTCATGGTTTAATGTTGCTAGGAATAAAGGCACTGAGACAGCTGAGAAACATGCATTAATCAACATGGGCTTTGGTAAACCCCAGCAGGGCCAGCAGTTTGCTACAGGTCTGGACCTCTCTCCCGCCACACAGCCACACTGCCTCATGTAGTCTGTCCCACCTAGCGGGAGTTCCTTTAAATACCAGTTATGTTCCCCAGCTATTTTTAAGTTCTGCTTTGTGAGGAGCTTGTGACTCCCAAAAATCTTGTGCACAGTGACACATGATTGTTTAGGATTTTAATGGTAGTATTTGGTGAACAGTGAGATCCTTTTGAATGGATTTCCTTCCATTGGATATGAGAATGAGTGTATGTTTAGAATGTAAGCCTAGAGAGGCAGGATTATGTTGGTATATTCCATTTGTTTCCTTGACCTGGTGTAATAAAAACTGTTAAAAGCCAAAAAAATAAATAAATAAATGCTGTCAAAGGTTTATATGCATCAATTCATATGACCATGTTGTTTATCCCCTCTAAATTGATAATACACAGAGCATGGTGGCACACACCTGTAATCCCAGCACTTGGAAGACTAAAGCAGGAGGATTACTTCGAGTTTTAGACCAGCTTGAACTACATAGTGAGTTCAGGACCACAATAGATAGATGATAGATAGGCAGATAGATAGACAGACAATATGATGAGTTACAATGATTGATTTTCAAATACTGAAATTGCATTTCTGAAATAAATCCCACTTAGTCATGGGCTGTGTGTGTATAATATATAATATATACTTTATATCCAGTATGAACTGCTAAGTTGGATTTGCTAATATTTTGTTGGTGATTTTGGGGGGCTTCTCTACTCATGAGGTATGTGGGTCTATAATTTTTTATATTTACACTATCTTTGTCTAGCTTTGGTAGCAGAGTGTGTTAGTTAACTTTCTGCCACTATAACAAAATTCTGAGGTAATTAACTTATAAAGAGAAAAGGGTTATTTTGGCTCAAAGTTCAGAAGATTCCAGACCAAGATTAAGTAGCCCCATTTCCTTGGGACTCTGGTGAGGGCAGCACATCATGGTAGAAGCATGTGGCAGAGAAACCACCTATATCAGAGAGCAGAGATGGAGGAGAAGAGACTAGATTCTCACAGTCTTCTGGATGGCAATAACTTTAGAATTTTCCACAAGGTTCCATTTCTCAAAGGTTCACCAACTCCCAGTAGTGCCACTCTGGGACCACACCTTTAACACATGGGACTTTGGGGTCACTCATACAAACCATGCCACAGGATCTTGTGCATTGACCTCATAAAATGAATTAGGAAATGTGCCCTCCTCTTCTATTTTGTAGAATTGATATTACAGTGGACCTTCAAATTATTACAGTGGACTGGCCTGACATACAAACGACTTAGGTTAATTAGGTTAATGGAAGATTCATCTGCCTCTTGTTATCTATAGTGTGTACCTAGGTAAACATCCAGATCTCAGCTGTATTGACTTACAGCCAACTTGAGTTATAACCAGCCTCCGGAATCGATCGAGTTCATAGGTCAAGGGTCCACTGTATTTATAAAATGTTTGGTAAAATTTGCTAGTTAAACCATCTAAAAGATTTCAACTACAAAGTCAACTTTTAAAATAGCTGTAGGATAATTCCAGTTATTTAATTCACCTTGGACAAATTTTGGTTTTCAAAGAATTGACCCATTTCATCACATTAGTGTATGTATGTATACAACTATACATACAGTAGAATTGCCCAGTAGAATTGTTGCAATTTCAGTCAATGATCAGGCTTTTATTCACTGACCTATATCAGTCATTGTGGCTGGCATCTGAAAGGGACCCACAAGATAGCAGTGTCCAGGCAGGAAGAGGGGCAGCCTACCCCAGACCGCCTAGTTGGCCCTTTATCATCATCTAGCCCCGATCCTACCAGCATGTCACAGGGAGGGACTTTCAGAGAAGCTGGCTCTGCCTGGATCAACCATTTCAGAGGAAGACAGAGGTAAGGCCTCACCAGCTCCTGATTCTGTGATACCCTGGGTTCTGCTGCTCCCAAGAGGGTAGGGATAGCAGTGGAATGTCTTTTCTCCATCCCCATACTGTGGGATCCTCCCCAGCCGGCCATACAGGAAGATGAGTCCTGGCTTCCACCTGGGATTCAAGGGCAAGGTACAGAAAGGATCTAAGATGGGAAAGAGAACTTGTGCTCTGGCTTACATCTAGATATTCCCCCAAAGCCTCATGCACACATAGGTGGGGAGTGACTGGATCATGAGTGTGGGATACATATTAGTCTGCTGATTAACGTTTAGCATAGTTCTGGATGTGGCTGAATGGATTTACTGAAGTCAGAAGCCCCACCCTGGGTGTGGGTGGCATCAACCAGTAGGCTTGAAGCCTAGAGAGAATAAAGAGAGAATAAAGAGAGAAAGGGAGGCTCCCTACTGCTGCTTCCTTCCTGCCTACCCTACCATAGTCTGTTTCTCCTCTGCCATGCCACCCTGCCATGAAGCAGCCAACTATGGACTGAAACCTGACAAACTGTGAGCTAAAATAAACCTTTCCTACTTTAACTTGTGGGGTCAGGTATTTTGTCCCAGTAATGAGAAAGTAACTAACACAACTTGGTTGAGCTAACAGCTACCAGTTGAGTTCTCAGATTCTGACTTCGTAACTAAATATGAGAGTATAGCCCCAGCCAGGCAAGGAGACAGGATCACAGGCTTGGTGTGAGTGTGAGCCTCTCAATCTAGGATAGGGAACGAGCCCTGAGCATCTAGACCCAGATGGGTGAATTCCTGGTGAACGTGCTGCCATTGCCATGACAACCCCTAGGCTCCTGTGATACACGGGTGTGGGGAGAGTACTCCACTTCCACAGACCAAGCATGAACTAACTGTACTCCCAACTCTCCTAACTATAGCAGACTTTGCTAATTAATCACAGTTTTTGCTCAGTCTGGACAAAGAATCTTTCTCCATACAGGGCTTCAGACAACCCCTGCCAATTTCTCAGAGTAAGTATCTGAGGTGCCAAGTATCTCCCACCATCTGCCCTGCCCTCCTGAAGCTGGTCAGAGAAATTCTACAGAAGGCTAGTTCACAGCTTTATTGGGAGAGGAATACACTCCGTCATAATGCAAGGCCCTGACCCCAGCAAGATCTCCAGCTTGAGATGCAGCTCCCTGGTAGTGATTCGATAGTGGCCCTTGGTGAGACCCCAGGAAGTGCAGTTGTGGCACCTCCAGCAGGCCTGGATGACACGGACAGCACTGAGTACTTGGCAGTAGTGCCGGCGAGCACACCACATGCGGACCCAGGACTACAGTCTGACTGCTGCCCGCTCCTCCTTTTAAAATGTTTCCAGCATCGAACGCCACCTCTTCTCCATCAGCTTTGCCAGAATCAGCCACTACCAACACTGAATGACCCAGGCCCTGACGGCTGCATGCAGCAGTGACCTATGTACCAGTGTGCCCCGCCACCAGGCCTGGATCTTTACAGTTGACATCTCTCTCGGGTCTTCTTGGTACTTGCAAAGAAAGAGAGGGGACATTCAGAGGATGCTGCTCACCCACTTCAGCTTCAGGGTGCCAGGAAAGGCCCTCATCTCCCATTGACAGTTGTCTCTTCTGAAATGAAAGCACACTGGGCAATGTACTGGCTCCTCTCCTCCCTTTGCTTCTTTCTCTGAGCTCTGCAGCTTCCACAGAGGGTCATCTTTTTTTCTTCTTCTTCTTCTTCTTCTTTTTTAGCAGCACAGGGGATTGAACACAGGGCCTTTGCACTGAACTATATCCTTTTCTCTCTTTTTGTGGGGGGGGGGCGGGTACTGGGGATTGAACTCGGGACCTTGCACTTGCAAGGCAGGTGGCAGAACCACTGAGCTAAATCTCTGGCCCTCTCCTCCTCTTTTTTATGTTTCATTTTGAAGCAGGGTCTTACTAAGTTACTAAATTGCCCAGGCTGGACTTGAACTTGCAAGGCTTGAATTGCCTTAGCCTTCCAAAGTACTGGGATTATAGATGTGCGCCACCACACCTGGCTGAGGGTCCTCATCTTTAGTTGGTATATTAACATCTTTAGGCTGCTTCTCCTCCTGCAATCAGCAGGGAGGAGAAAAGAGGGAGGCTACCTTTCCTCCTTGCCCATTTGTGGTCCACCTGACCCCATTTCCAGGCTTCCCTCTTTAGACGTCAGAGGGTTCCTTCATCCTGAGAGAGCTGTGAGGACATCCCTAAAAAGCCTGGCACATCTGGCTTGCTCTTACCACTGGTCACATGTAGATTGGATGCAGATGGTTCAAATCCCTTCAAGCCTGTATTCCTCCAGTCATGGAGGCATGGGCAGAAAGTGCAGGGAGACCTGTGATGTCATAAGGGCAGGTATGACTCAGGCACCAGATGGCTCCCAACACTTGAGTCTCCCCCCAAGGAAAAGACAAAAGTGCTCCCCATTCTTTTCTACCATAAATGGCCAAAGCCCTGACTTCAAATCCACAACACCAAAAATACTGATGCACTGATATAAAGGCATGTAGTCAGTCACTGATAATAACATTTAATTTTAAAACTTAGATATCCATCAATAAGGGATTGATTTCATAGTTTATAGCCCATTTGAACTTCTGAATGCTATTAGCTATTTAAAAATGAGTTGATCTATATTAATGAGGAAGTATATCCAACATGTATTTATACATAAAAAACTAAAATCATTATGATCTCATTTATGTAAACAAAATTAAGAAGCTGGGTGTAGTAGTGCATACCTGCAATCCTAGCACTCAGGGAGGCTGAGGCAGGAAAACCACAAGGTCAAGCCTAGCTTGGGCAACTTAATGACTTAGTGATATCATGTCTCAAAACTTAAAAATTTAAAAAGGGCTGGGGCTATAGCTCAGTGTGAAGGCCCTAGGTTTAATCCCCAGACTTGCAGAAAAAAAAAAACTAAACAAAATTATACACATATTTTGAATTTTATATAAAAAGGAGTATACAGACTATTACCAACAATTACCTGTTCAGAGAGGCACTGAATTGCTGACTCATGTACAGCCCATCCACACAGTGCCAGCGAAGCCCACACAGGGCACCCAAGACCAGCCCAGGTCACCATTACAAGCTCAGTGGGTTCAAGAGTTCTCCTGGCTCCCTCTGGCCCGCAGGCCTCGAGCCCACCATCACACAGATGGGTGGTGGCCACTCCACAAGCAGGACCACTTTCTGCCTGATCCTCAGCCCTGAAGATCCACCTAGACAGTAAGGCCTGCTGTCCCCTGATAGCTACCATACCGGGGTCACTAGAAATGCACTTGAATGTGTAGGGTGAGTATAGGGGGAGTCTATATGGGGTCGTTGGGGGATGCTGCAGTGGAGGAGGCCATTGGAGGCTGGGGAGCCTGTGTGAAGTTAATGGAATGAGGAGGTAGGGAAGACAGGTGTGCATGAAAGATGTGTGTGGAGTGACAGAGAGGGTGCTGGATATGTTCATTTGAGAAGGATAATATCGGTTAGGCCTTTGTTGTTGCCAATAGTCGGATTTTTACCTGCCCTCACCCTACTCCCAACACGTGCATACAGATGCACACACAGAGTCACAAAAGCCTTGAGTTTCATGGTGTGCAAGGATAATCCCCATTTTCCTCCAATCTAAAATGGCGGGAATTTGCTTATTGAAAGAGAGGAAGACAGAAAAATTAAATCCAAAATCTACTGATCAAGCCAATCATGGTGGTGCATCCCTATAATCTCAGCACTTAGGAGGCTGAGACAGGAGGATCACTGTGAGTTCAAGGCCAGCCTTACCTACATACTGAGACCCTGTTTTAAAACAACAAAACAAACAAACAAAAAACAACCTACTGATCAGAAAATGTGGGTGTGACTCTCACCCCACGAAGAGGAAGAAGACATGGCCACATCATACAAGAGAGCAGCACAAAGGCAGGGCAAGGCAAAGAAGGGCTCCCCTCAGGGAAACCAAAAGGAAAGAAGAAATTCCACACCTCCCGAGGATGTCAGAGTTCTCCCTCCAGTTAGGCACGCGCTATCACTTCCACAGTAGCCACAGCAAAAAGAAAACACGGGCTGGACCAAAACCAAAACAAAAATTTTTTAAAGTCATCAAACAACAATAGATTCAAGAGAGTCTAAATAAGCTCAATTCCAAGGAGGAAGTAAAAACATCCAGATTTGATATGTTTGTGTACCAATTTCTCAAGATGAATCTAATTCTTATTATGGCAAACATATACCTAATAAAAAAAGAAAATATACACAAAAAAGAAAAAATAGATATTTAATCATGCATCAAGTATAATGTGGTCACATACAATGAGAATTTGAGTTATGAAAAATAAAAAATGTGAGATAAAATATTAAAACATATGTTTATGTGCAAAATTTAAAATGCAACCCATTATATTTATTTTAAAAACTGAAAAATTAAAAATTGGTAGGTGCATAATGCTAAGTAAAATAAATCAGACACAGAAGGTTAAATATTGCATGGTTTCTCTTACAAAAGAAGTCCAAAATATGTTTGAATTTCTCCCTATCTATTCTGTTGTTTCAAAAATATCTTCAGATAAGTGCTGATTTGTTTCATTTGTACCACTAATTTCTTTTGTTCCTTGAAAAGAAAGTTTTGTCCTTTTATTTGCTTGTTTCTTCTATGTAAGAATGTTTTTGTCTATGACTTGTACTCTGAGTAACGTGTTGGCCATTCTTTAAAGACCTAGATACACAGTATATTAACTATTGTTATTCCCTAATTATTTTTGTTATAAAATTCTGTTTTATTTTTTCACAGAAAAACAATTTTTTTATATTTTCTTTATTAATATCTACTTATGTTACATTGAAATTTTAAAAATTAAAAAAAAAAGAAATCCAGAGGCCAAAGCAGGAGGATCACTGCAAGTCCTCAGACAGCCTGGGCTACATAGTTAGTTCAAGGCCAGCCTGAACTGCATAGCAAGACCTTGTCTCAAAAAAAAAAAAAAGAAATCCAAAATATAAAATTTTGAAAAGCAAATTAAAAGAAAAGTGATAAGAAACACGGAGTTAGACTTTGTGGAGATGGGAGGGAAAGGGCAAGTAAAAAGAATCAAGATGCAATATGTATGTGTACCAATAATCTGTGATGAACATATTCATTATGTATCACAATGTATGTATACTAATAAAAAACATTGCCTGATGTGGTGGCGGACATCTATAATCCAGGACTCAGGAGGCTGAGGTAGGAGGATCACTCCAAGTTCAAGGCCAGCCTGGGCTACATAGTGAGTTCCAGGCCAGTCTGAACTACATAGACCCTGTCTCAAAAAAAAACATTTTTTTAACTAGAGCATGATACCTGTCCAAAAAAATGGAAGACAGTGGAATCTGTAAAGCAGCATATTCACGTTGTCAATACATGGTTGCACTCATAAATAAAAATATTAATCATCCTTTCTTAGTAGTAGGATTTGTTATCATGTAGAAACAATTAAACATAAATAAATGCACTCAAACCATAGTGGAGATGTTCCTTTCTGGTTGCAGAGAAGTTAGTGGCCATTTGCATGCCTGTGTATATTTACCAAATTTCTAGACCCAGAGCAGTAAGGCCTCTGTGTGACGATATGTCCAGAGGAATCCTGCTGCGATGAGGAGAAGCCAGCAGAAGTTTCAGGGGCTGTATGTGAGCTGCTCCGCTAACTGGAATCTGGAAGAGACACCATCACAGAGTGAGGCTGTGTAGCCCTCATTCTCTCTCATGGAACTTCTGAGTCAGCAGCCCCACAGGAAGCCAGGGCTGGCCTGGACAGCAGAGATCTCAAGTCTCTTTGTCCTAACCCTGCATACTTCTGCTCCTACTTCAAGACATTTGAAACCGAGGTGAATGAAAACTAGATGAAGTACTGACCCAGTTCCAAACTAACCAAATTCCTGTTTAGTTGAGAAATAGGCTCCCTTAGTCTGTATTGCACTTTCTATAATGTTTGGCAGAAAAATATGACATGGAATTAAAAGAAAAAAATATCAGTAGAATTAGACTAACAGATGACTCATCTACTGAAATTAGTAGATAAAAACTTTAAAAATAACTATTGTAACACCCCTTCATGATAAAAATCCTGAAGAAAGGAGGTATAGAAGTACCATATCTGAATATGATAAAGGCTATTTATGACAAATCAATAGCCAGCATCATACTAAATGAGGAAAATAAAACCACTGCCCCTAAAATCAGGAACAAGACAAGGATGTCCACTATCGAACTCTTCTATTCAACATAGTACTTGAAGCATTAGCTAGAGCAATTAGACAAGAGAAATAAATAAAAGGAATACATATAGGAAAGGAAGAACTCAAATTATCATTATTTGCAGATGACATGATACTCTACATAGAAGACCCAAAGTACTCTTATACTCTACCAAAAAAACACTTAGAATAACCAATTTCAGCAAAGTAGCAGTATGCAAGATCAACACACAAAAATCATTAGCATTTAGTCAACTTTGGAAAAAGTTAT